GGGGAAGAGGGGAAGAAGGGGGGGGGGGGGAAAGGAGGGGAACGGGTAGAAGCAGTCTACTTGATTATTTCCTGAACAATTACCTTCACCCTTTATAAAACTGGCCTAAACAATTCGTTTCTTCCGCAAAATAAAAAAAAAAAAAAAGCCCCACACACAGCTCAAACGATTACCTCCCCAAACAGACGGCAGTAGAAGACGACAGCTTGGGACAACTTTCAGTCTCGATACAGCGAGAATTACGGTCCGTTTAATAATTCAAAAACAAAAAAAAGGAATTACGACGCGCTTCATTCGTGTGAAGCTTGATCGAGAGATGTGAGGTGTGTGTGAAAATTCTTCGGCGCCGGAATACTGCAGCGAGTAAGGCCAAAACACACGATAAACTGATGGGCCTACAGTCCTAACCCGAATAGAACACCCGGTCAGTACAGCCGTATTTAGTGCAATTTTCAGTCCAGATACGGCTATAACGACCGGGCGTTCTATTCGGGTCAAGTTGGTACACATGAACTGTTGAAATGCAGACCCAAGTTCGAATCCAGTGAACGACATAAAGCAATTCCGAATTACCCGGGGCCAATCAGTTCCGAGTATTTTTTGTCGAGTACGATATCCCAAGAGGCTGCTCTCCCTCTTCAATCCACAAAAAAAAAAAAAAAAAAAAAAAAAAAACGCTACCCTTGAAAACAACGGTAGTCAACTTCCGTTCCACTCAAACGAAACTTGCACGCTGAAAAAAATGACGACATAGCAAAATACAACGGAATACCAAAGTACCCTGGCGGTACCCCTGATCGAAAGGTTTATAATTTTCTAATTTGAAGCATTATTATTAAGTAAAAAAAAAAAAAAAGGTGTGGCCGTGAGATCGGCTTCCAAATAGAACACCCTGAAAAAATGACGACGGCCCTGAAAAATGACGAACAATCGAAACAGAACTACTACACCGATAGGGCCGGCTACCTATCGTCCTCACCCGAATAGAGCGCACGGTCATTACAGCTGTGTGTATTTTCAGCAACTTTCGGTCCAAGTACAGCGGTAATGACTGTGCGTTCTATTCGGGTGACGACCATAATGCGACTTCTGCGGAGCGGAAACCAAATCAAGAGAGACACTGACTTTCGTCACTCGAAAAAGGGAAAAAATAAATAAATAAAATTGAAAGGGAGAAACAACCGAAAACATAAACAGGAAAGGACACAAAACAGGAAAGGACAAAAACGCTCAAGGCTCCGGTCCCTCCTACCCACACCACGAAATAGCGGGTTACTCAGTACGTCAACCAAGAAAAAAAAGAAGAAAAAAGCGCTACAAACTACGTCATCCCAGCCGTTAATTGGACAAATCCACGGCGATCGGCTGTGTTTCACTTAAAACGTTTTCAACTCCTTGTTAACTCATCGTTAATTCTCTCTTAACACTTTTTCAACTCTTTCAACGCTTTTTAACTGTTTTTGAAAACTTTTTTAACTGTTTGTTACCTGTTTTTTAACTATTTGTTTACTCTTTTTTAACTTTTTGTTAACTGTTTGTTACCAGTTTTTTAACTGTTTGTTTTAACTGTTCGTTAACTCTTTGTTATTGTGAAGTGCAGTGAGACGATGGTATTCCGCTAGGAATCACCGAAACAATTGACCTTGCAAAAGAGTTAACGAGTTGGAAATTCAGAGAGAAACAAATCTAGAAATTCACAAATAATGACAAATTCAATTAAAAAAAAAGGCAAGTGTAAGGGCCTCGTTTATCACCACTTGAACTCTCAATCAAGGCCGGGGGAAAAAAAAAAACGCACTTGTTGAACTCTCAAGGTACCTCTCTGGGGAGACTTGAGTTCAAGTGCGATTTGCGGTTCCCGGCAGGCACTCCAAGTGGGGCTTTTTTTTTGTTTTGTTTTTCTTTTTTTTTTCCAGCAGGCGATCCTGGTCCAGGATTGGTCAGCAAGCAAGCCGTGGAGTTCGGTTTCAAGTGCACACTAGAAGATCCTGTTCAAGGGTTTCCTCAAGTGTACATGGGGAACCATAAATCGAGTTAGCGTGTGACTGTAAATTAATCACAACTTCTCATTTAGTGTGTGCACTTGAAAGTGTATTTTCAAGTGGTGTCGAACGAGGCTCTAAGTACCCTTACAATGAGGAAACTCACAAGCCAACAACAAGAGAGCCAAGGAGGAGAAACACGAAGAGGGCTATGAACCTTCGTCGTAAACGAAAAGTCAAGAGAGTACGGTTGTTGTGGGGGGGGGGGGGGGGGAGCAGCGGCCGGGCATCCCATCTACTTCCCCCGACCCCACTCTACTCCCTGGCCATTGCCGATTAGGGCGGGGGCAACATGCATCCCCTTCATTGTGAGAGGTAACTATACTTGCAGCCGTCCCCAGTCTAGGCTTCGGGGTAGTGGTAGGTAGATTGTGGAAGGTGAAATTCAAAGCAGAATATAGTAGGTAGCTTGTGAAAGGTGAAATTCAAAGCAGAATATAGCTTAATTAAAAAAGAAAAAATCGCAAGACACAGAGAGAGAGAGAGAGAATACCTGTGTGTGTGTGTGTGTGTGTGTGTGTGTGTGTGTGTGTGTGTGTGTGTGTGTGTGTGCGTGTGTGTGTGTTGTCATGTTCGCTATACACTCAAAAAAGCATGACTGTGCCGAACAGACCGTTTCGTCGGACTTTCACCGACTCATCAGGAGGTTGAAGAACCTGGACCGACAGGCTGCCCAGGATCCATTTGACTGATGGATAAGGACTCACCACATCGCCCAGAGTTAGCGACACTCCTGCGAAATGTGGTCGACTTTACTTGTGTGTGTGTGTGTGTGTGTGTGTGTGAGACGATGTGTGTTGTTATATTCGTTATACGCAACACCCCTGAGAAAAGTGGCCAACTTTACTTGTGTGTGTGTGTGTGTGTGTGTGTGTGTGTGTGTGTGTGATTCGTTATACGCTCAAAAAAATCATGACCCGTGTGTGTGTGTGTGTGTGTGTGCGTGTGTGCGTGTGTGTGTGTGAGAGAGAGAGAGAGAGGGAAAGAGGAAAAAAAGGCAGAAGGGAAAGATAAAGAAGATATGAAAAAATATGCCACTCAGTAATCCCGAGATTAGCCCGGCAATAATATACCCAAACGACTGCTCCGGACACGGATTATGCACCTGACCGTCTTCACCGTGCAGGTAAATCCGAACAAGTCTAGCCTCCATCACTTGCCCTCGAGTATGCTATTTCTGAACTCTTTCTGCCCAGAAAACAGGGGGGGAAAAGGAGAAAAAGATAATTTCAGAACTCGTTAAGGGACCTAATTAAGAGGATTGAGAAGAATGAAAATCCCTACATATATATATACAGCGATGCTTAGCTACTGCCGAAAAAAAGAAAATAGAAAAAAAAAACTTAGCTATAGCAGAGAGCTAATCACAATAAAAAAATTCCTACCTATTTAATTTTACAGCTATTGCGGGTTGAAGTCTTCTCCGCGAATCTTCTCCTCCTCTGCTCCTGGATCCCGATCAGCGACCTCACACTCGAGCGCGCTGTCACCAACACCTCCACAGTCTTCTGCCAAACAGTTTTCTTACTACCACCATGTCCACGTCTCCCCCAGACAGCGATCAACCTCTCTCTCTCTCTCTCTCTCTCTCTCTCTCTCTCTCTCTCTCTCTCTCTCTCTCTCTC